GAGCTGGCTTTGAAACATGATCCTCAGACCTCAGCCCCCTGTGTAGCTGATTACAAGCGTGAGCCACTAGAGCCCAACTCTCTTCTCTTCTTGTAAGGATATCAGTCATATTCTATTAAGGATTCACTCTACTGCATCATGACATAAACAGATACATCTTCAATGAGCCTATTCAAATAGAATCACATTCATAGCTACTGAGAGACAGGGCCTCTATCTTTTCAGATGCAACCCATAAATGGTTAGAAAATTCTGTAGCAAATGGTAGGGGGTGTGCTGGTCAGCTTACCATCACTGTAACAAAACACCTGAGATAAACCACTTAAAAGGAGGAAAAACCAGGTGTGGTGGTACATACTTATCATCCTAGCTCTCAGGGGCTGAGATAGGAGAATGAAGAGTTTGAGGCCAGGCTGAACTACATAGCAAGTTTCATATTACTCTGTTACTACATAGAAAATTCCTCCTTCTACCTCACTTTCCAATAAAAATGTTTATTTTAGCTTATGGTTTCAGTCCATGGTTACTTGGTACTGTTGCTTTAGGCCTGTGCAAGGCCCATGCTTCCCAAGAGGAAGCATGTAGTAATGGTGGCTGCTTATCACGTGGCAGCCCTGAAGCAGAGAGAAAGAAAAGAGGCCAGAGTTCTACTATCACTTTTAAGAGATTCCTTTCCTTCCAATAAGGTCTACCTCCTAAAGGACGCATCACCTTGATAAAGCCATAGGCTAGTGACCAAGCATTTAGCATGCAGCCTTTGGGCTACATTTTAGATCTAAATCATAATAGAGGGGATGGATAGGTTATTTTGCATCTACATAGCATCCACTTACATACTTTTCTCCAACACACATTTGCTGCTATTCTGCTAAATTTGGGGATGCAGGGGGAGGTAGCTCTGCAACTACTTCTCTGAAATGTAAATAAAATGTACTTATTTGTATTTCCCAACTTTGATGGCCTATCTTATCCCTGGACCTTATGAACATACATGGAGCCAATATATAGTTTGCCTTTGCCCAGGTATACATAAAAACTTAAATCCATTCAATATAACCTGATTCTGATTCTTATATACCAGGAGTCATTTGGTGTCATTTCCAGCCAAACACCATTTGTGAGTATTTTATTCTACCATCTGCATGTCAGCAAAAAATGGCTCAAGATTGGGAAGGGGAGTTTTTTGCCATCAGTTCCATCCATTTTTAGTTCTGGAATTTCAGCTTCTTGATTTTTTTTTCCCATGCACTTTCAACCCATTTATCCCCACATGTCCTCCTAATTGTTTGTGGCTAAAATTTGCTGGGGTCCCTCAATGTCTAAAAACAATGGGGAAAGTTTAGGACTACATCTGATCTTATTTCTCTGTAGCTTTCAGAACTTACAACCATTCCAGAAAGAATGTGATTGGCTATTCCTTCCTTGTTTGTATGTTAAATTTTAATCTCCCTCCTAATTGTAAATGTTAAGATATATCAGAATGTTCTGATTTGCACTATTTTCTTTTGTCATGCTAAAAACCAAAAAAAGGCTAAAATATGTTTTATAACTTTGAAATATATACAAAAGTAGAATGAACATCAACCAAGTGATCCTAAAACTCTTACGGAAATTCATAAGACCCAGAAGAGCCAAAACAATCTTGAAAAAGAAGACCAAACTTGGGGAAATCAGACTTCTTGATTTTGACTTCATACAGAGCTACAATAATCACACCATATTTCCTAACAGAAAGAGAAACACAGATAAGTGGAATGGAAAGTCTAGATATGAATTCTCACATCTACAGTAAATTGATTTCTGGCATGGATGCCAAAATAATTAGATGAGTCAGGAGCAAATGACTCATGCTTGTAATCCTAGCTACTCAAGAAGGGAGGCTGAGATCCAAGGATCAATCCCCATTGGAAGCCAGCCCAACGGAAAAGTTTGTGAAACACAAACACTTATCTCCAATTAACCACTCAAAAGCTGGAAGTGGAGGTATGGTTCAAGTTAGAAGGCACCAGCCTTGAGCAAAAATTCTAAGGGATAGTGCTCAGATCCTGAGTTTAAGCCCCAATACTGGAGAGAGAGAAAGAGAGAGAGAGAGAGAATAAAGAAACATTTTAAGGCTAAACCTTAGACATTTTGAAAATGTCTAATTAAAGTTTTACTATTTTAAACGTTCAACATTTAGATCAGAAAGATGTGACATATATATTTTCTCCCAATCAGCAACATTCTCTCCGATTTGAACACCATGGCACAGCTGAGTCCCTGAGAAGTTTTCACCCACAGCTCACTTTGGCTTCGGGAGATAGAAAGTTCAAGTTCTGGATACTCATTTCTTTCACCAATGGCCTGGAAAGGGCTCTCGCTCTCCAGGAAGTTTTATCTGACATCCCTGGAGCTCTGTCCCTGCTCCAGGATGACTTCTTGAGCCATCCGGGTTGCCCTACCCCGCGCTGGGGGCGCGGTCAGAGCTGGGGATGTGACACCCGCATGCTCTCCTGCTGGTGCTGATGAGAGGAAAGGGGGTCCCTAGCCCCGAGCCTCTCCCAGTCCTCCAGCCTGAGCCAGGTGCCTCTGCCCTTCTCTGTTTCCGACTGTGACTCTAAGTAAATCTCTGTGGCTCAGTTCAGGCTAGGGCTAGGAGGGGAGGAGATCCTAGGACTGGGATCTCAAGTTTATGGGTCCTGGGGTTAGCTGTGACTTTTTTTTTTTTTGTCATCCTGGAATTTCTCCTCAAAGGCGACCTTGGCCAGGTGCCCCTGAGTATTTCCACACCTGAGTGCCGAGAAAGAAAGAGTGGATGTTTGACAGAGTGAACCCACGTGGGGAATTGGCTCATTAGCAGTGGGGTTGGGTCTCTGGATCCTATTCGAATACCCATAGTTATCTTTTCGAGGATAACAAGGGTTTTTGGCTTGCTTGAACTCTTAGCAATCGTTTGTTTACCTGGAAAGACCAGTGTGTGTTATTTTTGAGTGTTGATTTCAAATGAATATGAAGGTCTGTCTTTTTGTTTTAAGCTAGGCTTTGATTTGCAATGTGCTGCCTAATTGCTCCATTTGTAAAAGATGCCCATAATGATTGATATTTAAGTGATGAACTCAATTTTAAATCACTTTCAGCTCTGTGATCTAAATTGACTTTCATTATGCATTGGAAAGTGGGAGCAATTAACAGGTTTCTTGGTTATGTGGCTCTCCGGTTAAATAACTTCCCTCAGATTATAAAAATGTAAGCAATTTGGAACTTTGGTGTTAAGTACTACCACTGTTGCTACACTTAGCTCATAGTAATCTTTACCTTGTTTTCTAGCTATGTGCTCAGACTGAGGATATGTACTGTGTCCATGTTTTACAAAATAAGGCACCAATTGCTTACAGGTAGCACTGTTCAATGATACCCCAGGCTTTGTTGGCAGAGACCATTTCTGCACTTCATAGCTATGATTTTTTTCCCCCAGCACTGGGTCTTGAACTCAAGGCCTTGTACTTTTTCCAGTCAAAGTTGGTGCTCTTCCACTTGAGCCACACCTCCACATCCAGCTTTTTGCTAGTTAATTGGAGAAAAGAGTGTCTTAGTTATATCTTCTAGAGCTGGTTTCAAGCTCCTGAATAGCTAGTATGATGGGCATGAGCCACCGGTGCCTGGCCACAAATGATTCTTAAACATCACACCAAATTACAGGTGGAACCATAGACTTTGATGTTGAATAGAAATATTCATTGTTCAGATATACAGAGTGACTACAACTAGTTTGTACTGTTCTATCACAGGGGAGAGAATAGGAAGCAACTTTCTGCCTCTGATATTTTGTATATTAATTGGAGACATGTCAATAAACAAATGAACAGAAAGGTACAAATCATCAATGGTAGCTGATAAATGCTGGGAAGACTTTTGAAGTGGGGATTTCAGGACAAGCCATGCTGTCATCTGTAACCTTTGAACTGAGACCTTGAAAGAAGCAAGGATGACACTGGAACAGAGCTTTCCAGGCAAACTGGGTAGGCCTAGCTAATTGGGCTGAAACAGGTTTCTTAAATGCTACTGTCATTATCTTTTTGCAGGGGACAGGAACTGTCATTGTACGATGTCTGCCTAGCAGCATCCCATTCTATTTTCTGTACTCTAGATTCTAGCTCCTAGCACTCCCACAGTTGGGTGTGACAAACAGAAATGTCTCTAGATATTGTTAAGTGTCCTTGGATGATAAAATACTGGCTCTTGACAACTGTTCTTTTTTTCCAAGAAATAGGTCTATGTTGCTTATATGCCTATATTACAGGCAGGCATATTCATGTGTATATTTGTAAGGAAAAGTGTATATGTAATTTACCTAAAGAAAGAACAAGGAGGACAGGCAGTGACTAGAGGAAGAGAAATGGGAAGAGGTCCACAGACAAGGTCACAAAGGACCACATAGTGTAGTGTACATTTTAGCTGAGGAGTGACATGATCTGTCATAGGTCTAGAAAGATTGCTGTGTGTGAAAATCAAAAGGATGGGAACCACAGTAAGCTGCTACACTACTTCAGAGAAGAAATGATGCAGTAGGCTGAGTGGGAGCAGAAGAGGGCTAAGAAACATGTATTTGAAAGAGTTACTAATGGATCTACATGTTGCAAGAAAGAAAAAATTCAAATATAATTGTTATAAATTATGTATTTTATGTTATATATTTTATTATGCATTTTATTATTTTATGTTATATGTATTTTGTTATGTATTTTATTAGCATTCTTATTTATTTATTTAGTGCTGATACTTGGGCTTGAACTCAGGGCTCCACAGTTACTTGGCTTTTTGCTCAGGCTGGTATTCTACCACTTGAGCCACACCTCCACTTTAGGCTTTGACTGGCTAATTGGAGATAAGAGTCTCAAAGACATTTCTTCCCAGGCTGACTTCAAACCACAAACTTCAGATCTCATCCTTCTAAGTAGCTATGATTACAGATGTGAGCCACCAGTGCCAGGCTTTTTATTTTTATTTTATTGAATAATGCAATGTCCACATATGTGAAGACCAAGGAAGCCATCAAAAATCAAGAGCCTGGATTGGGGCATGTTAGTTAGCCTAGAGTCTGGAACCAGAGATGAAATTTAAAAGCCATGATTTATTTATCCAACAAGAATTTGTGGGACATCTGCCAAAGGCCAGGTGCCCTTCTAGGCAGTAGAGCCCTATCACTAAACTCCCTTGTTCTGATATTGCCTGGAGATCTCATCCTTCCAGCTTCTTGGAGCTCCTTTTTGTGTTTGCAAAGAATTTTCCCCTAGTTATCAGCAGATCTTCTAGCATCTCATTGCCAGCATTTGCACCTCAATTGCTGGGTCCCAGGGTTTAATCCCTCTTATCCTTGCTCCTAAGAAGCTAAAATATGAGGATCACAGTTCAACGCCAGCCCAAGCACTCAAATCTGAGACTCTTATCTCCAATTAACCAGTAAAAAGCTGGAAGTAGAGCTGTGGCTAGAGACTTCAGTGAAAAAGCCAAGCGAGAGCTTGAGACCCTAAAATCAAGCCTTAGTCCCGGCACATGCAGATAAAAAACAGTGTTCAAATAAAAAAAATCACTACAGCAAATTTCTCAAATATTGGACCTAATTAGTTCCAAGCACCCACTCTTGAATTCAACTATCATAACTGGAGACACGGGATTTTCTAGAATCTGTGATGTTGGCCCCAACATAACCTGACATCCTGAGTGCAGAGTACAGCAAGAGAGTGGCAAAGACAAGTGCATAGTGAGAAAGAATCTAGGACTGTGATGTATAGAGGGAATGCAGCACTGCAACTCTCACCAGACAGAACTGGCAGTATAACATGTTTCACATATGTGCCCCTTGGTCAGTCCTGCTTCCCAGGCTAAAGGTCTGCTGCTCTCTTTCCAGGGTCCCACTCACTACAGTTCCTCAGGTCTCGACCTTGGACTGCCCTTGTTTGGGGCTTTGGGCTGTGTGGATGACCAGCTGTTTGTGTCCTATAATCATGAGAGTTGCTGTGCTGAACCCTGGGCCTCATGGGTCTTGGGTAGAGCATCCAGCCAGTTGTGGCTAGAGCTGAGTCAGTCTGAAAGGGTGGGATCCTATGTTCACTGTTGACTTCTGGACCATAATGAACAACCAAAACCACAGTAAGGGTATGTGGACAGGGGCCTAGCTTTCCTGAGATGGTCAAAGCATTTCCCTTTCTTGGGGATGTACCTTAGAGAACTATGTGGGGGAAGTGGGAAAGAAGGGGGATTATTTTGGTCTATAGTATCTATGCTGGGAATAGAGCCCTTACGCCTTTGGTTTTAGTAATAAGATGGTAGAGATGGGGATGTTTCCAGAGTCCCACACCCTACAGGTGATCCTGGGCTGTGAGGTGCATGAAGACAATAGCACCAGTGGGTTCTGGAAATATGGGTATGATGGGAAAGACTACCTGGAATTCTGCCCTGAGACTCTGGATTGGAAAGCAGCAGAGCCCAGGGCCTGGGCCACCAAGACAGAGTGGGAAACACACACAATTCAGACCAAGCAGAACAAAACCTGGAAAGGGACTGCCCAATGCAACTGCAGCAGCTCCTAGAGCTGGAGAGAAGGGCTCTGGACCAGAAAGGTATGGGGGAATGTATCCTCTTGACTTATATTGTAGTGATGAAGTAGAGAGAGGTACAAAGTCCAGGGGCTCAGAGATGGTAGTTTCAGGGGGAAGTTATGTAATTCTCCCAAGTTCTTCAATCTTATATATTGGTAACTATGACCTAGCCATAACTCATGTGTATGTATGTGTGTGTATGTGTGTGTGTATGTATTTAATTGGAAATATGAATCTCATGGACTTTCCTGCCTAGGATGATTTTAAACCAGATCTCAGCCTTCCAGCTAGCTAAGATTGCATGAGCCACTGGCACACAGCAGCTTTACTTATTTTCTTCTAATGTATAACCAAAAAAGGAAATACCAGCAGCCCTCTTTTGATTTAACCAAGATTCCCATGAAAAGGTATAAATATACCTTTCAGAAGGACTACAGAGATGTCAATTGTCACATGAATACCAAGACAAGAAAATTCCAAGTGAGGCAACCCTACCAGCTTAACAAGACCTTATCATACAAAATTATGTTCTCGGTTGAACCAAATGAAATTGATTGTTCCTATCAGTTTTGATTCACAGGAAGGGAACTTTTATGTGTCAGACTAGAGGACATGATAAACAGGTGTACATATTCACACAAAAGACAGGAGAACAGGCTGATAGGACTGTGACTGTTTCCATGTGACACTGAATTAGAGCCAAATCTTGGAAACATTTTTAAAACACAACATGGAGTCTCTCCTGCATTTTGTTATATCTGAAAAGGGTCTACTCTTCCTCCATCCCACGGAGGCAAGTGAGTGAAAGCTCCTGTTTTCTGGGAAGGGTAAAAGATCCTCTCTCTGCACCCTACCTCTTTCTTGTCAAATGCCTCCTTTGGTGAAGGTGACTCATCATGTGTCCTCAGCAGTGACCACTCTACAATGTCAAGCTTTGAACTTCCACCCACAGAACATTACCATAAGATGGTTGAAGGACAGACAGCCATTGGATGCCAAAGAAGTCAAGCCTCAGGATATATTACCAAATGGAAATGGGACCTACCAGAGCTGGGTGATTGTGGCTGTGGCCCCTGGGGAAGAGCAGCGATACACCTGCCAGGTGGAACACCCAGGCCTGGATCAGCCCTTCATTGCCACTTGGGAAAAGGATCAAGCCAAGGGCTGAGAAAATCCATAGTGGGGAAAACAGGAGTGGTCTCTATGGCCCTGAAGGAAGGATATACTCTAGGTTGGGAGTGACAATCACGGGCTTGAACTGGGCTTTAAAAAAAAAATTTAGAGCCTTCACCATCTAGCAGCCTGGTCATGGGAGTTATCAGTGGTATCTCTGCTTGTGTCATCATCTTCATTATTGGAATTTTGTTCTGAACCTTAAGGAAAAGGCAAGTTTCAAGTAAGTAGGAACAAGGAGGAAGTATCTTTGTGTCTCTATCCCAGGGGAAAAGATAGTTTTCCTGCAGAAAATTGAGCTGAGCGGAAGTCCCAGCATGAGAAGACTTTTCTGCTCTTATTTTTGGGGGGGGAGAAGGAAAGATTTTTTTTTTTCCTCCTCAAAAATAAATGTTCCTGATTCAACAAACATCTGTTGAGTAGCTACTACTTTAGAAAAAAAAAGATGCTGCTTAGAGTTGAGGCTTGGAGGTTAAGTAAGTTACTGTGCCTATTCTCAGATCTTAAATCTAGTACAGAGTGAAGTGTATGACAAATGCACGCAGTTAATCAAGACCTCTGAGGTCCCAAGAAAGGTATGAATTAAAATGATTTGATGTGTCACAAGAAAGAATGGTTGTGTTAGCTGGAGATCAGAAAGGTTTCTGGACCAAGGCTTCCCATGCCTACAATCCTAGCTACTTACAAGTTGGAGATAGGAAGATTATGGTTTTAGGCCAGCCTGGGTGAAAATACAGGCCCTATCTGAAAAAAGAAATCTAAAAGGCAAAGGGCTTGAGAGCCTGGCACAGGTAAAACCAAAGCTTTGAGTTCAATTCCTGGTGCTTGAACTCAGGGCCTGGGCACTGTCCCTTAGCTTTTTTGAGTAAGGCTGGCATTGTACCACTTGAACCACAGCTCCACTTCCAGATTTTTTTTGGTGATTATTTGGAGATGGGGAAGGGGGAGGCGACTTGAAGGAGAAGTGGGATTTATCTGGATGAGCTTGACAATGAAGATGAGGAAAGGTCTATACAGCAAAGTAGGAGAGTGTGAAGCACACTAAGAGGGAGGGAAGATTGCACTTGTCCCCTGACTTTACCAACCTGTCAGTTAAAAATTCTGCGTTTCTACTCTCTGAATATTTGTTGTGTGGGGACAAGAGAGGAAAACAGAAGCCAGATAGTGCAAAGTCTTGGGCTCTTGGCACCATTATGTCATAATCACATTGATGCAAGGAGTGACAGAATTTCCTTTGTGAGATAAATGAGTTTCGAGGAAGGAAGAGGAGAGACTGAGAGCAGTTAGAAAGCCAGTGACAATTCCAGATAAGAGACAAATGTTACAAGAAATCCAGTACTGCCCCTGGACAAGAGTTGTCAGTGTTGGTTGGGAGGGTGAATGAAGAAGGTGAGATGGTGTCTGTGAAGACTCTCCCTGGGTCTCTTGTCTTTACAAGAGGAGCCATGAGGGACTATGTCTTAGCTGAATGGGAGTGAAATGAAGCTTGCAGACCTGTTGGGGAGAAGAGACACAAGCAGAAATTGAAAGAAGGAGCCCTGCCTTGCTGTTTCACGTTTCAAGATGAAGTTGTAGCAAACACGCAGAAAAGGCAAGAAGGAATAATCTGCTTCTAGCTTTCCCTTTCAGAAGTTTTCTCATACAGATTTTTGTTTTCTGTATGACAGGGACCCACACTCTTCATTTCTTTCATCAATATAGACCATATACACCTATGGCATCTCATCTCCCATCTCTCTAAGACAGTTCCCTCAATTTGAGGGAATGTGTAATTTATTTTAACATCTCAAAAAGGTTATGAGCTTTTGCCTTGAGACACTCGCTCCTATATCCTTCACCAGAATTTTGCACACACATCTGGCATCTAGGACCCACTCTGCTTTTCTCTCTCTCTCTCTCTCTCTCTCTCTTTGTGTGTGTGTGTGTGTTAGCTAGTAACTTACCTGTTCCTAGGCCCTGGGTTCTCTTCCTTGAGAGTACAATCTGTTTCGTTGTATAGCTGTGAAGGCTGTATACTGCACAACCCAAGGAGACAACTTTTCTGGAACATTTTGGGTGAATGTTTGTATGCAGTTTTAGCAGGTGGGAAGGAAGTCTCTTCAAGGGGTTTACAGAGAGGAGATTTTTTTCTAACTTGCACAAAGAAGTCTATGGATTTTCAAATATTAATAATGTCTGCATTTCTGATACATTTCAAAAACCCTAGATTTGAAGTTCCTTCTTGATCATGAAAATCATGAAAAGGATATTCATAATACTGATAATGTAGCTTTTACTTATTTTCTAAAAATACTTGGTGTTTCTGTTCTGACCAATGTATTTATTATTGCATGCATGATTTATAATAATTTTTATGGAATAGCTATCATTATTTCTCCCTCCTCGTCCTCCTCTTCCTCCTCTTCCTCTTCTTCCTCCTCTTCCTCTCTTCCTCTTCTTCCTCCTCTTCCTCCTCCTCTTCCTTCCTTCCTTCCTTTCTTCCTTCCTTCCTTCTTTCCACTGAGGATTGAATGAAAGGATTATATGAAAGGTCTAATGTCTGCTAGGCAAGGGCTCTATAATTTGAGCTATGACCTCAGATCCCAGACCTTCTTTTGTTCTTGTGATCCGTGTAGATACATTCGTATTTTTTGCCTGGGACCCACCTCTGACTATAATATTCCTACTTGTCTCTCATGTAGCTGGAATTGCAGTTGTCCACCACTACAGTCAGATTGTTTATCAAGTTGGAGTATGGCTTTTTGCCAGAGTTGGTCTAGAACCTAAGAACAATAGGTGCTTTTAGGATTTCTCTGTGCCAGATATGTCTTCCTAGCCCCATTACTCTTTGTAAACAGTTTGCAACTTTTTAATGTCTCGAAGAAGAAAACAACACATACATGTAGCATAGCCCCTTTAGGTCTTCTAAACATCTAGTTATGGTAGGAAAGTAGCTACTGGCTGGTTTTATTGTTAAGTTTCTGTTTCCTAGTTTTAATATCTGAATTTGGCCTTTTGAGTATTTGTTAATGTTAATTTCCCTGTCTCTTCATATATCCTATTTCCAAACAATCTAACCAAGGCAATTTAGAAATTAAATTTTAAAAATATGATTCCTCAAATGACCTTGCTCAAAGATGTGATGTATATGTATGTGTGTGTGTGTATGTGTGTGTGTTTGTGTGTGTGTGTGTGTGTGTGTGTGTGAGAGAGAGAGAGAGAGAGAGAGAGAGAGAGATTGAGATTCATCCAGATGGCATGTGTTTACTTTATTCTGCTACATATATATGGTTTGGTAACTGTGGTGTATGTATTCTTAGAGGGAAAGTGTCTAAGGAAACCAAGCATAGCTCAAAAGTTTGTTTGGTGGGCACTAAATTGGAGTAGAGAGCTCAACATATTTTTTAAACCTTTTTATTTTCTTCTGGCTATGAAAGTTACATAGAAATAAAAGTAAAATTTGTACTTATTGTGTTAAAGTTGAAAATGAATAGAATGAAAACTATAACCAGTGATTAAACTGCATTAACAATGTGTATCCTGTTAGTACTTCTACTGTTGAAATATATGATTAACAAATAAATGTTAATAAGTGTACAATTGTGCTGTATAGTGAGTGATTTCACTGATGTGCTTGTCTATCTTATGTTGGTTCTTAACTATTATATCATTTGAGGAACATTTATATCACTTGTATTTTTCTCTAACATATTTTGTTTCATGGAGTATTTTCACTAAAACATAATATCTGAATTGTAGGGAACTTCCTGTCTATGTTGTGACACACTAGTTATTTTAACTGTCCCTACCATATAAAACAACAGCAAAGGTCTTCTCTTATTCTGAGCCGATATGTTACAATTAATTAGACAATTGCTTATTTTATATTGTTGTTTGTTTTTCACAGCTTAGAATTACAAGAAATTCTCTCATCTTCATAATAACACATTTATAAGATGCTAGCAACTATGACCTTTCAGTGGTATTTACCAAGAAATTATAAAACTCTGTTTTACTTCAGTGGTAAATCTATTTTTTTTGTTACTTTGCTTATTTTTTCTGGTTTGGTCATCTATTTTTAGAATTGAATGCCTACAATTTAAATTTTGTCTTATTTCATCATTGGCAAACATCGTGTCAAAGGGTGGTAGTAAGGGGAAGCACGACATCTTGTGGCCGTAACCACACATACCACAGTGGTCACATGACTAGAGAGCTAATGGGGGGGGGGGGGGAGGGGAGGGAATGCCCTTTTTTCCTGAGAGCAAAGAGTTACATAGAAGCTGGTACAAGTAGCAACACTTGCAGATGAAAGCTCATGAATGCTAGAGAACACAGCTTACCAGCTAGAATCCCAGACATGCTGAGTTGCCTGAACTGGTAACAGAACAAAAGAAAAACAACCTGGGAAGTAAAAGCTGAAATTTTTCTCATAGTGTATATGATGTGTGCTTAATGTTGCTGTGGTTACTTGAATCATTATGAAATACTCTTCGTGATCACACTTTAAAAGATAAAAACTTTCTATGAATGGCCAAAATTTCTCATTAGATTATGTTTTAAACTACTATTTATTTTTTCTAATTAACTACAGTGAATGCAACAGTGACAATCACTCTAATTTGCATGACTTTAAACATTAAACACGTTCATGTATGGCTCGGTATTTATAACTTTGAATCTGTAGAATCTGGATGATAATTTTTGTTTCAACGAATGATCCCTGGATTATAACAATATTACAATATTTCTGCATGACATTACCATTTTGTATACACAATATATTGTTACTTTCACAATTCAAAAGCATGTAGAGCCGGGTGCCTGTGGCTTATGCCTGTAATCCTATCTACTCGAAAGGCTGAAAGCTGATCGTTATGATTTGAAGCCAGCCTGAGCAAGAAAGTCCATGAGACTGTTATCTCCAATTAACGACCAAAAAAAAAAAAAAACAGAGTAAAGCTGTGGCTCATGCGGTAGAGTGCTAACCTTGAGCAAAAAAGCTCAGGGACAGTGCTCAGCCCTGAGTTAAAAGCCCAGGACTGGCACACATGCACACTACACACACACACACACACACACACACACACACACACACGTTGAGATTCTAGAAATTTCCCAAAGACCTCAGGCATTGCACTTTTACTCTGTAAAGCTTGATCTTCAAGCTTTACAAGGTATTTGTGGTAGGAAGTGGATAGTAGATGCTGAGTTCCTAAAAACTCAATTTTGGGGTAAAAAAACACCACTTAATTATTTTTAAAGTTTTAGAAACTAAATGTATTTTGAGTTCTCCTGCTGTTTTTGAGCATCTTTCCACTTGTCTTTCTCTTTTTATGTGAGCAAGTTTGATGCTAAACTATGCTGTAGTTCTCAGGTCACAGTTTCATCCTAAGTTTTCAAATAGGGATTTGTGTATTAACTACAGTGTGGGAAGGTTGGGTGATTTCTTATTGGTATATTGGTTTACTTATTTATTTTAAGCTTAATAATTCTTAAGGTGGAAATTTTCAAAAGCTGTAGCAGGAATCTAGGGAGAATTTGTGTCTTGAGAGGTTTCCTGAACCATATTCAGTCCAAAATCTACAGATTACTACCATTCAGGGTAGCATTCTTTATTACTGGTAGCTGAAGGAAAACCCATGGTACTTTGAAACAAAAAGACCTGTTTCAAGGCCACCCACTAAGTCATGAAAAAGGCTGAGATACTTTGTCAGAAATACTTTAAATTTGACCAGTTACCTTCACTGTAACAAGTGATAAAAAGTTGAAAAGCCCCATATTAGCGTTTATAGACCTTATTGTGATTTTGGAAATCTTGTCATACTAACATGGTGATAAAATAGGTATTTTTGAAAAGCAAAGATGCAAGCTGAGCACTAGCAGCACATGCCTGTAAGCCAAAGCTACTCAGGAGACTTAGGTCACATTTTATGGCTCATACTGCACAAATCCTCCCCTCCCCAAATCATTTGCAAAGAAGTACTTTCTATAACTCATGTTTTGTGAAGGGTCATATTCTATGGCTTAAAAAAAAAAAAAAAGGGCCAAAGGGAAAAAAAAACCTTCTAATAGGCTCCTCAAATTAGAAGAAACTTGAGTGGCTAACCTGCTTTTTGTTTTTGTTTTTTGCCAGTCCTGGGGCTTGATCTCAGGGCCTGGGTGCTGTCCCTGAACCTATTTGTGCTCAAGGCTAGCCCTCTACGACTTCAGCCATAGCACCTCTTCCAGATTTTCTGCATAATTTATGGGAAATAAGAGTCTCACAGGGGCTGGGAAGGTGGTTCAGCGGTAGAGTGTTTGCCTTGCATGCATGAAGCCCTGGGTTTGATTCCTCAGCACCACATAAATAGAAAAAAAAGGCCGGAGTGGCACTGTGGCTCAAGTGGTAGCGTGCTAGCCTTGAGCTGAAGAGCTCAGGGACAGTACCCAGGCCTAGAGTTAAAGCCCCATGACTGACCAAAAAAAAAAAGTCTCACAGACTTTTCTGCCTGGGTTGGCTTCAAACTGTGATCCTCCAATCTCAGCCTCCTGAGTAGCTAGGATTACAGGCATAAGCCACCAGCGCCCAGCAGTTATCTCATTTTAAACATCATATACTATGATCTACTGAAAAGCTGGAGGCACAGAATTATACACAACCCCCACTTTTTTTTGTTTTCGTTTTTTTGTTTTTGTAGGTCGTGGTGCTTGAACTCTGGGTCTAGGCCCTTCCCTGAGCTCTTCAGTTCAAGGCTAGTGCTCTACCACTTGAGCCACAGTGCCACTTCTGGCATTTTCTGTTTATGTGGTGCTGAGGAGGAATTGAACCCAAGGCCTCATGCATGCAAAGCAAGCACTCTACCACTGAGCCACCTTCCCAGCCCACACAAACCCAATTTTAGGGGGATCCCCCTGGTATTGAAAGACATGTTGGCTGCTAGCCATTTATCTTCATCCCTGAGGGATATTTAAGATAGCCAGTAGCTGGCAGAATGGTCAGATCAGGGTCACATAGCCATACTAGGATAATAAAACCATTCTTATACTATCTTCACAATCCAACCTCACAGGAACCATGTTCATCATATCCAGTACAGCAAGGGCTATGGTTGAAACTATACAGTGAAGCCATTTATGTTTAGTTGTTCCCTATTTTAGTACAAAAACCAAAAAGGTCCAATTACACAAGGGAGTGTGGAGAGGTGAGTACCTAAGGAACCATCCGAAGAACATCCTTATATGTCAAGTAATAAAGCGTATAGTTTTGTCTTGGGCTTTAATCAAAGCTACTCCAGTATGGAATTAATATTTATAATAATCCCCAGGGCAGAACAATCATGGTAGTGACTGGCTGAGATGACTATTGGCTTCAAGATTCCAAAGAAGCATCTCCTGGACTGAAGCAAGCCCTGTATTCATGAAAGATACAAGACTTGGTCTGTCCTGGCATGCTGACACACTGATTACTACTCAGAAAAGGACACTCTCTTATAGGTCCTTTCTCTGGAAGTAGAAGAAGGAATTGGGAACTATAGGTTCTGGTCAAGTACTTTGGAAGAACTTCTCAAAGTCCCAAACAAATGATGTCTGGCTTAAAAAAAAAAAAAGGGCAACTAACATTTAATATACAGACTATGTGTAAAGGCAAGATTTTGGCACTAATATGTTATTGTAAAAACACTAAACCACAAATTAAGAGAAAATCCAAGCATTTAAAAGAAAGGCACTTGAGCTCAGACTCAACTTCCTGGTACAACTTTTTAACTTATGGAAGGTTGATTTCAATGTTGATTTCAACATGGAACTACAAATGTTTCCATTAAGGTTTCAAGTTCTTAACATTTTACAGCCTATTGTGTGTTCTAGCTGATTTTCAGTTGACATGTTCTTTTTATAAATTATACATATTAGAATTACAATCTCATTAGGCCATAGTATTACACAATTTTATAATAATTACCAGTAATATATGTGCATTCCTTGGTACGCTAGACATCTAATAGTATAAACACGATCCAATATACTTGCAACTGTACCCAAACACTAAAAGGCATTTTTTGTGATTTTGGTGACTCCAACTTTCACCTAGAGGCTAATTTTCCTTAAAGCTATTTCCCTCTATCCCCAATTCTGAGACACCAGGGCTTCATATTTGATCCTTTCAAAGTCTGAAGACCAGGAAAACCTAGGTATAATGAGGGGGGGGGAGATTGAAATAACGAACTGATGGCTACTTTCACATACATCTCCCTTTGATGGCTATTCCTAGAATAGAGTGGATATTTACATGCAAGCTCTCCTTACATTAAACTCCCAACTGTGCAGGGAGGGATGAAATAAAACACACAAGAAGCTCAGTGTTTGCCCTCTCAAGATCTCCATTGAGCCCATTGGCTTTGACTTCACTTCATCGCAACCCCCAACTTGCTCAGCGACTTCTAGTCAAATGCTGAGCCCTTTTAAAACTATTTAGGTGGCTCTTAAAAGAGCCTTTGGGTTCTTTGAAAACTGGTTTTGTTTAAAGCTCTTCACTTCGACGTTGCCTTCTTCGTAGCTTTCTGCAGGCCCAGCTTTGGCTTGCCAGCTTTGGGCTTCCCTCCGGTCACCTTCGCCGGACTCTTGCGCTGTTGAATGCCCTTTGCCCCTTTGCCTTTCCTTCCACTGCCGGCGGTTTTCTTAGGTGTAGCCTTCGGCTTCTTGACGCCCTTGTTGTTCTTGGCGTTCTTTTGAGATCTCGAATCCCTGGATAACACCAGCTTCTTGGATTTTCCAGGCTTTTTGGCTTTGCCCTTTGTTTCAGGAGCAGCCTTTTTGCCGAGTTTGAAGGATCCGCAGGCACCCGTGCCTCTAGTCTGAACCAAAATCCCCTTGTTCACCAAGCTCTTCAGAGCCAGCTTGATGCGGGTATTATTCCTCTCCACGTCGTAGCCGGCAGCTGCCAGTGCTTTCTTGAGCGCGGCCAAGGACATCCCTGACCTTTCTTCAGACATGGACAGAGCATCAGTGATCAACTTGGATACGGAGGCATTCCGAACATTGCGACTGGCACCAGTCAAACCAACGGGTTTCTTCCCTCGCTTTTTGACCGGAGGCTTCTCCATAATGCCCGGAACAGGTACAGTCGAAGCTGCGGGAGCCGTCTCGGACATAACACTGCAGACAACCGTAAAGCATAAAAACCGGCAACAAGTGCAAAGTGCTGCAGGCCCCTCAGCGCCTTATATAGGGCAGGGCGCGCTGTGATTGGTGCATCTCTCAGGCGCCACCAACGCCCATGAGAGGGAGAATTTGTGTTTGTTTTACCCTCAAAAGTTGAATCCCCCAAATTTGCTCTGGACAGAATCACCCAGGTTCCACTGCCAGATGATCCGTGGGGACCCGGATTTCACATGTCTTTTTATCTTTTAATGATAAATGACCTTTCATGCCAAAACTATTCGAGAAAGCCTTCAATTTGCAGCCGAAGTCAAGGAGAGAAATCAAACTTCCACTTTTCATTGTAAATTCAAAAAGTAACTTTTGGCAGAAAACTTATTTCATCTCATCTGAGTGGTCTTCTATATAGATGGCTTCTAAGTGGGGAAGAAAATAAATTATTCTTATCCCAATTTTATTGAAAATTAGTTATATGTGTGAGGGAAGTAACACAGTTTTCTTGGGCTATCTCTCTATGGAGTTAGACAATATGTACTAAACTTTAATAAAAATTTCGGGTTATGTGCTTATTCAGGTAAACTTATTTAGGTAAGCATAATGCAATAAGGCCTAATCTACACAGCATAAATTGTCTGTGACAAAAGCTACTTCATGTCTGAAGCAACATAGGAAAACCCATAAGGATGGAGTAAAACAATGAAACAATGACTGTGTCTCCACTACTGAGTTTTTCTTCTCTTTTCATTAAATTAATCCTCTGTGCCACTGTCCACCCCCCACCCCTTATTCTGCCTTTAAACAGACACAATCCCTGCTTGTAAATAATTACGTATCATGAGTCAGGAACCTTGGCCTGAATAGCCCAGTGGAAACCACAGATCCAAGCTGTGCTAGATGTGTCAGAAAAGTGATACTCTGTTAAAGCTTCTCCTGGGAGGCCTTTGTGATAAGGCTGGAGCTAAATGCTTGATCATGAAGGCCAGGCCTTTCAGGAAAATACTAAGAAAAGCTCAATGTGATTGGAGCCCAAGGTTTCAGATGAAGAAAACCCCTTAAGACTATTTTGTGAAGATCCTCAAATGTCTGTATGATAACTTTGGTAATTATTATAGGCCAAGGAACTGTAGGAGTTTATGTTTTGTTTTCTTGAGAAAAAGTTCAACTCATGGTCTGCCTGCTGTGCAAATTGTGGGACAAGCATAGCCTATTCTTCATCCCTCCCTCCCTCCTCCCTGCCCCAGCCCCTTGTACATGCAAGGCAAGCACTTAAGCAAACAATCTTGGCCATTTGTTGACCTAGTTTTCTCCTTTTAAGAAAAGGTATAGGGGGGTGGGAAGGTGGCTCAGTGGTAGAGTGCTTGCCTTGCATGCATGAGGCCCTGGGTTCGATTCTTCAGCACCACATAAGCAGAAAAAGCCGGAAGCAGCACTGTGGCTCAAGTGGCAGAGTGCTAGCCTTGAGCTGAAGAACTGAGGGACAGCGTCCAGACCTAGAGTTCAGGACCCATGACCAGCAAAATATATGTGTGTGTGTGTATGTGTGTGTGTGTGTGTGTGTGTGTAAAGATAGGTGATTTGCATGACCTATATTGCATTTAAAAAGGATTCAAAATACTCAACAACATAGAACTAATCACATAAGTCTCCATTCATAAATACTAAACATCCATAATTGATTTTAACTGAAGCTATAAAAAACTATGTTTATTTATATCACAACACACATTTGTATTATACATTGTATTTATTTATTACATGTAGATCATATATTCATATTTATATAGGTAATTACCTCACATATATGTAAAAAGAACAGGAGATACCAGGAAAAATATTCTTTGTTGTACATTTCTGTTTTTCACAGATTTCAACAATAAACACTTAATATTTTTATACTTGGAGGAAAAAAACTAATGTTTTAATATTAAAATACTGGTTGCTTATCTTCTTCTAATATCATCCATTTTCATCATTTCATTTGTGAGATGAAACAGAGTCCAGCATAGAAAAGATATGTCTAATGGCTGCTTCTCCTGTTTAAAAAAAAAAAAAAAAAGACCAATTTAGTTCTTTAATTCATCAGATATCTGATATTCTGACTCTTGAGAATAATGGTATGTTTTCTCGTTCTAGAAAATTACTTAAGCAATTTATAGATAAATGTGTTGGTAAAATTTTTACATATCTGTGTCCAGAATACCTAGAATTTAAGAGAGGAAGGATTTACTTTAGCTCATCGTTTCAGAAATTTCAGACCCTCATAGTGGGGAAGAAGTAGCAAACCGGATCAAATCACGGTGGGCAGGAAGCAGAATGAATATAGGAAAGGGCCAGAGCAACATATGGCCCCAAGGACACCCCCTAACCCCAGTAACTTATACACTCCATAGATCCGACCTCCTACTTTTTTTTTTAACAACTCCCAATAATGCCATCATCGTATGTCTCCACCAAAGGATTATTAGTATACTTATTTACTTATAGCCTGCAGAATCCAGTCACATTCAAAAGCCCATCAGCTAACAACAAGATACCCAACACATGAGGCTGAGGGGGAGCATTTCATAGTCAAAATATAATGATAGTAATGCATTCAGTTATTGCAACAACTGCCATTTTCCCTGCGTTATAGATGAGGAGAAAAGGCATTCATTTCCCAGGTAGTACAGCTGTTGAGTGGTGGGCCTCTTCCATGAATCCACACACTGTATACTTGTGTGTGTATACTGCTAAAACAAATGATGACTGTGACCTAGTCAGTGTCCCATGAGTACCATTTTAGCAAAATATTAAAGGATATGAAGTTGTCATGTGAAAAGAAGAGTTTTTCACAAAGGAGACACACATGCCAAGGTGAAAAGACTGTTTAAAATGGTTACATTAGATTGGCCATGATCCCTGTGGAGCTACCAGTGAGGGATACCAAAGATCCTTGAATGATGATAGGTTACATAGTTCATGCTTCTTATTCACACCAAGAGCAGTTGTTAAAAGTTCTTAGAAAACTGGGAGAGAATGAGGAAAAGGGTGGCACTGTCCCAAAAGAAATGTACTCATTACCTCACCTATATAACTGTACCCCTCTGAACATCACCCTTATGATAATAAAAGTATAAAAATATAAAAATCAAACCTTCTCTTCATAAAGTGAAAAAATAAGTTCTGAGAAGCATCCCTTCTGTCAAGTTCTAATCCCTTTGAGTAGATGGCAGAGGAAATGACTCCATGCCTTCTTTCTTTTTAAGAAGTGATATCAAACAAAATATATCGAATGGAAAAGTGACCAAATAAATGCTCTTTCTTGAAGTATTATAAAATGTATTTTTTTCCTTCTTCTTGACAACGTAATAATAATGAATCCTGTTTTATGCTCTCCACATGTTGGAATCTGCTGTAGAGAAAGGTATGCAGTGTTTGCTTAATAGAGAATCATCTCAACTATCTCTGGGCTGACCCATTGGTCTACCAGGAAGATGTGGGTTTCTGTGACAAGCATTCCCACATTCAGCTCATTTGAGGGTTTGAAATTGTGACTCATACTTGTTACATCAAACATAACTTCATTTTTGAGAGATTTTTTTTGGGTGGGGGGGGAGGTCTGGTCGTGGAGCCTGAACTCTGGGCCTGGGCACTGTCCCTCAGCTCTTCAGCTCAAGGCTAGCACTCTACCATTTGAGCCACTGCGCCACTTCTGGCTTTTTTTTTTTCTTCTACTTATGTGGTGCTGAGGAATCAAACCCAGGGCCTCAAGCATGCAAGGCAAGCACTCTATCACTGAGTCACCTTCCCAGCCCTGAGAGATTTTTGTTACATCTTTTGCATGCACTTGCTTAAAAGAGGATGGGGATAATCAAAGTCATGTGGATTTGATAAAGATCTACCTGGCAGAAGAGCCTGTAATCAGTGTAGTCACAAAGAAGTTATTCCTTCCTATTGGTGAGGGTCATGGTCTTTGACCATCTCTACAAACTCAAGATACCATCTTTGATGTTCCCATGCTTATTTGTTAAAGCCCAGTAGCTTTAACAAATGTAGTGTACATGTTCTCTTAGACACTATTGAAAAATCACCAAACTTAAAGACTGCTGAAAGTAACCCCATACCTCTGTGTACTTTCATGCATCTGTACACCAACCTTCCTAATTTCACACATACAATCAACACAGCAAAAATAATAGTGAAGGATAATAGGACTTTATTTCTCCATTTTTTCATGATTGGTTTATCCCTAAAGGGCTTCCTTTATGCTTTCCCACTAACATTTTACTCCTGGACTATAAAGTTAATATGGCAAAACACTAGAACACTACCTGGTGCTTATTCAACATCACAGTTAGCTACTATTATCATATTAAGCATTTGCATTGATATTCATGTTTGCAATATCATATCATATCAACTATATATAATCTCCCTTTCCCTGTTTTGTCTTTACCCTTTTCCTAGACCTTATCCCTTGCTTGAAGTCTATATACTTAAGTTCTATTGTTTGCTGCCAGTCTTCTTCAGTAGAGACATTTTATATATATATATATATATACACACATATATATGTATACATATATACATACATATGTATATATACATATATGTATATACGTACATGTATGTATATATGTATATATAGATATATGTATATATACATTTATATATACATATGTACATATATACATATATATACATATATACATGTACATATATACACATATGTACATATATATAATGTATGTATATAAAGTCATTACTCTCAGGATATATATGTATGTATGTATGTATATATATACATACATATAGATGTATGTATATATGTATATATACATACATCTATGTATATACATATATATATATACATATATATGTATGTATGTAAATACATACATACATACATATCCTGAGAGTAATGACTTTCTCCTTTTCCAGGGAATTAGCCAGTGACAATGGCTCCAAAGCAGCTGGAGGAACAAGAACCAGACGAGTTCTTCAGGGTCAGGGCAAAGTGAAGAAGCTCCCTCTGTCAGTCATCTAAGAATTGGCCTGTATTCAACCTGAGCTAGATATTGTTATGGCTAATGAAAAGCCCTTGTAGAGCCTTTTAATAGGAACCAAAGGGTTAGAGGAATAAGAGAAAGGGAAAGAAGAAGAGGGGGAAGACAAAGAAGAACAGGACATAATAACAGAATGTACTTGCTTCTCACACATCAAACCTTGCTTTTTACCTGCATACGTACATTGACAGTCTCTTGCTTCACTGGGACATATGTGAGACTGAGAATAAGTTATGGCCAATGGAAGGCATTCAGAAATGATGTGTGCTACTTCTAGGCCTGGTTCATGACAATCTCTCTCACAGTGGCACTTGTCTTTCTTCCACTGTCTGTTGGACTGATGTGGAATTTCCAGCAGAGATTTCTGGGACCCAAGGATACCAAATGTACAAGATGGAAGATGTTCTTCCTGAAAGTGGAACCTCATCCTCTCGCAATGCTGAGACAGTACATAATGGAGTAATAAACTATGGTGTTAGTTACTAAGTTTTGAGGACTTGTTTAAGGCAACAGTATTACTTACCTTATTTGGATCTTTGGTTTATCTACTGAAATAAAGTCAATATTCCCATCCATATTAACATACCTCCTTCACCCGTGCTACCCCCTAATTTAGCCCATCATGCCTAAGTCTTAATATCATCACAACTGGTCTCCTAGTCAGTGATTTCACTAAATGTTATCCCCCAGCAAACCTCAAATGCCTCAAAGCATCAGAGATACTAGCTGGCTTAGATGATCACAGAATGAGTAAATTTTCTGAATAGAATAGAAAGGAAAAACTTTAAAGAACACGGTGAAAAATATGGTAACAACAGGAAATCAGGAAAAGCTTGATGTATGCATATTTGGAAATACACTGCATGACAGAGAGAGGAGCAGAAGAGACACAACAGAAGGAGGAGGGGAAGGCCTGCCAAACCATATGTCTCAGGTGTTTGTGGCATTTCTAGAAAGCAAGATAAAGCACTTTCCAGGCCATTCTAGAACTGTGATGCCACAAACCATGTTAGCAGGACAAAGGAACTTCCTCTCATTTGCAGCTAGAATTTTACTTTGCCTAGGCTGAAGGTATATGGTTCAAGTAGTAGAGTCTCTGCCTAGCAAGCTCAGTGCTTTGAGTTCAAAGCACAGTACTGGAGAGAAAGAAGGACCTGCTTAGCCTTATTTATGCTTAGAATTGATGTGTCTAAACTCAGGCTCTGATTCTTAAAGTATAGAATATTAAGTGATTTTTTTTTTCAAACTCTCCAAAAGACTCTTACTTCTACCTGAGCATCTTCAGCCCACAATTGAAGCTACAAGGTTTTTATTTCCACTCAAGATATCAGAACTTGCATCGTTTCTGTAGAATTTCTGAATTATACTATCATATATATATATGTATATATATATATATATATACATGTATATATACGTACATATATTCTCAAACTGCATTTATTTCCACACATTAAAACACAAAGTGGGCATTTAAGAATCTAGTATATGGGGCTGGGAAGGTGGCTCAGTGTTAGAGTGCTTGCCTTGCATGCATGAGGCCCTGAGTTTGATTCTTCAGCACCACATAAACAGAAAAAGCCAAAAGTGGTGCTGTGGCTCAAATGGTAGAACGCTAGCCTTGAGCTGAAGAGCTCAGGGACAGTGCCCAGGCCCTGAGTTCAGGCCCCACTACCAACAACAACAACAACCAAAAAAAAAAAGGAGACTTATCTCCAATAAACTACTCAGAAAAAGCTGGAAGTGGCTCTGTGGCTCAAGTGGTAGGTGCTCATCCTTGGGCACAGAGAGGCTCAGAGACAGAGCCCAGGCCCTGAGTTCAAGCCCAGGACTGGCAAGAAAAAAAAAAAAAAAAGAATCTAGTATCTAAGGTCCACCACCTAAATTGTTTAACAAAATCTAAAAATAAAATCAAATTTAAAAATTCAGTATTTCTATATACTATATCTAAATTTGGGCCAATTACAGTGAAGAAAATATAAAAATTA